TTGCATATATCAAAATGGTCCTGATGTAAGTTTTTAAAAAAAGATCTCCTTCCATGTATATATAAGTTGAAATATCGCTGCTAACAGCAATGTGTGGTCATAGCAAAAAAAGATCTCCTTCCATGTATATATAAGTTGAAATATCGCTGCTAACAGCAATGTGTGGTCATAGCACAAAAGGAACTCCTAAGTGTGTGTTGTTAAGACTAAGGCATTGATGTTGATCATGCAATTTATCAATATTAATTGCCTTTATTTTTGTGCAACGGGAAAAACTATCAGTAAAGGAGGGGTCAAATGTCCATTGGCATGCAACCTCATGGTAAATACGATTTTTGATAACTCGGCACATTAAATTTCTTAAAATTGTAAGTCAATAAAGAAGAAGGCATGCAACCTCATGGTAAAAACTTGATGCGGCATAAACATGTACCAAAAATATTGCAAGTGCACAACCGTGTCATGTTATAGTATAAAAAGTTATCGATCCCACAAGGAAGGTGTTTTGTAGGAAAAAATATAAATAAATTCTTATGTTGTGTGCGTGACAAATAGGAGTGAAAAATAAGTGTGATTGTGGAGAGATAATGAGAGTGAAAATGATAGTGTGTAAATTGGCACAAAATGTAAGTGCGAGTAGATGTGACAAAGAATGAATGATTTTCACAAGGAGAAAAAGAAAGATGAATAAAAAGGAAAATCAAGAATAAAAAGAAAATTCAAGAAAGTAAAGATGGCGAATTCAATTAAAGATATGGGTAATCTAGAATTAAATCTACTTCTTAGAAAAAGGTGATTTCCTAGAAGGTTCTAGCCTAAAGGCGAATCAAAATAAAAATAAAAATGAACAAAAAGGAAAACTAAACCCAAGAGGGTTCTAGCCTCAAGATGAATAGTATAAGAAAATAAAATGGTGATTCTCTAGAGGGTTCTAGCCTAAAGGTGAATCAAAGAAAATAAAAAATAAACAAAAATAAAAACTAATCCTAAGAGGGTTCTAGCCTCAAGGCGAATAGTGCAAGAAAATAAAATCTAAACTACAAAATAAATTACAAATACTAAGCTACAAAATAAATTGCAAGATTTAAATATGAGAAAATAAAGACATAAAATAAATCTAATCTATAAGTATAAAATAAATCTAAGGCAAGAGGGCTCTAGCCTCTTGGCTATTTAACAAGAAAATAAAATCTAACTACAAAATCTAAGGCAAGAGGGCTCTAGCCTCTTGGCTATTTAACAAGAAAATAAAATCTAACTACAAGCATAGAAATAAATCTAAACTAATATATTTAACAAGAAAATAAAATCTAACTACAAGCATAGAAATAAATCTAAACTAATAAGTAATAAAAAAATAAAAGAGAAAAATAAAAGAAATACAAACCTCCAAATAATTTTTCATCTCCATCTTCATCATCCAACAAAGAAAAAAATATTTAAAGTGGTAAAAAAATTATTTTATTAATTGTAACAAAAGTTACAAATTTGGAAGGCCTTCTTAATTAAGAGTGACCCTCCTCTCCAAATAGAGTTATAAAAATTTTTACACCTCTAACCCCTCATTCTCTACCTCTATTTATAGTAAACGTCAATGAATGAGAGCCATTGGATTGAATCCTTATCCAAAACCATCAAAAATCAGTCATTAATCTGTAACTGATTCGTAGCCATCGATACTAGCATCGATGCTGGCATCGATGCCGGTATCGATGCTAGTATTGATGTTAGCATCGATGTCCAATAAAAAATATGCCTCCACGGATGGCTTCGTCTCGTCAAGATAGACGATTTTTATATATTATATGTTAAATTCCGTCTTCCGGATTGAGAGATATCGTCATTTCTTTACGACCAACCATCTTGAATATATTTTATTTTCATATTTGATTTTTTTTATTTTCTCCGGCTTCTACAAAGCTACTCGGCTTGATTCTGGGCTTAGGATTTTTGGCTCTTACTTGTGTTCTTCATTTAATTCATAAGCTTTTGTTGAGAGATGGGATTTTTTGCTTTATTCTTCATTAACATGCAATTAAAGATAAAAACAATTATTAGTGATATATTTATTCATTAAAAATAAATAACGAGGGTATAAAATTATAATAAAATGTGATTATCAGCATCCTTCTATAAGAGCAAATATTACCTAAAAGAGCTAAATTCGCAGAATATTCATTGTTTCTCATTTTCAGCGACTTTAACCTTAAGACGTCAGTCGAATCCCACGAGAAAACATAATGAAAGCTAATAAAGTCATAAATGCCCAGTTGGCATAACATGGAAGTTTCTCAAACAGAAGCCGGACCACAGGTCTCCATTGACCAACCTGTGGTTCTAAGCAATAAGTCAGAAATGCACATCAAACCTAAATTCAACTGGTTTCAGAGAACAAGAGAAGAATTAATGTCACATAACTGTAAATAGCGTATTTCATGACCGTGTTTGGTCATTATCAAATGGGTATTTGTTGTTATCTGGAAGCTAAAACAATAGGAAAATCATCATCATAGGAGGATCTCAATTCGGCCTTGGTTCTCCCTGAATAGAACTCTAAAATTTATACAAATTAGCCCTTTTAAATATGTAATTCGAAGGCAACTTCGTCACTGATCTGAGTTAAGGCCATTAGGCAAAATTTAAGATCATTCAGGAATTCAAAAAGACCTTTTTTAAACATTGAAAAAGATTACAACTCCATGAACAAAGCTGAATTTAGATATGCAAATCTAAATATGCAGTTCCCAACCAGAGTTTATTTTAAAAACTAAAACCTGATAAACTCTACTGAAGCTGCATCAAATCAATAAAAAATATTAAGTGTAAACCTCATATAAGCAAATTAACAAACCTCATTGGGTCATAAACTTCATGTGGCTTATAATAGACAAGGTCACCTCTTCTCAAGGCCACCCTTGCAGCTGCCTTAAAATTGCCGATCCTTTCAAGATAGTCATGTGGCTTATAATAGACAAGCTCAACTCTTCTCAAGATTAACTTTAAAAAAATAAGAAATCAATGATAACTTATTGGTACTTGCCAAAAAGATTAAATTTTTTAAACAGAAAAAATTAATAATAACTTACCGATACTTGTTTTTCTCACATTGTAGAAGACCTCTTCTTGATTATACGTCATCTTGCACATACGTAATGTATAAATACAATAATTTAAATGGGCCATGATTTTTTCTTTGTCTTTTATTGTTTCTTTATCTTTTCCTTTTCTATTGAAGAAAACAAATTTTTTCATGATCATCGATCACAACTATACCTCATAGGATTCTTACTGACTTCCAAAGTCGTTGCCTCGTTTTTTCCAAAAGCACAACCAAATACGTGGAAAAGATAGCTGGTGTCATGGAAATAGGCATGTGTTCATTAAACCTAATTTTTTTAGCAATGCGATAGTCGGTGCTAACAAGAAACAAATACCTGTATGAACCAGTGCCCATCCGTTGTCCATCACCACTAATACATCATTCAAATTTGTCGAAAATTGAATCATTTTCATACAGATCACATAACTGTATAAAATTAGGACCATCATTAGAAAATATATATTAAACTAAAGCTTATTCTCAAAATGAAAAAGAAAAAGAAGAAGGAACTGGAATGCGTAGCATCCAATGTTACTAAAAAATTCAGAATGAAATACATAATTGTAAATAGTATTCACCTTTGGCCTTAAATATTCATGGACATAGAATGGTTGCAACTGGACCACTGTCCATGTTTATATCCCATAGCTAAAATCAGTTAAAAGTAAAATTAAAAAAAAAACTAAATACTAGAAACAGTTGATTCTTAAAATTGCAAAAGGATTGTAACATGGATATCAAAAGCTCATTGCTGACTGATTATCCTCAAAAAAGAAACAATTGAAAACTTGAACATAAACGGCTAAAAAAATGTAACCTTAAGAGTCATATAACCACGGCTGAGAATGTGTATTTCATCCTTTCCAAATTTTGTATCTAAAATTGACGCAATGATCTCAGTGAAAAAAGATATTGAACCTGGTGCTTCATGCTCCTCAAACCCGGAAGTACATGCTATTAGGCATGACAGTAGCAAAGAAGCAAACAACTCAAAATAAGAATTCAGTAACATTTTATTGAAACAAGAAGTACACCCAATTACATGTCACTGTATAAAAGTTCAAAGAAAAAACAATAGATCACTTACAACTTTTGGGATAATAACACGGTTAAAAATTGTGTTTTAACTTTCATCATATAAACACGGTAAAAAATTTTGAAATATTGGATTAAATTATTTTAATCCAATATTGTTTTAATAACATCCATTTGATTGTATACTCATCCATTTAAAACCAGTAAAAGATTTTCTGAAGATAAATAGTAAGGATTGCACGTGCAATGCACGTGGTAAATTTTTAATTTATTCTTTTGTTATTGATTCATTTCATTAAGATTTATTTAATTTAAACCATGTATCAAACATAATTTATTCTTTTGTTATTGATTCATTTCATTAAGATTTATTTAATTTAAACCATGTATCAAACATATGGATACATACTTCATTTCATTAAGATTTATTTAATTTAAACCATGTATCAAACATATGGATACATACATTGCACGTGATTCATATTAAGAAACTACAAGAGTCAAAATTAATAATGTTTTCATAATTATGCATTGACTTATACACAATACACAAGATGAATGTCAATTAAACATTATCTCACAGGACTAATTAGAATATTGTCTATAGAGAAGTAACCTAATCAACCATATATATGGTGCACGTGATAAAAGTGACAGCATAATCAAGAAAAAGTTAGTTGATCTTAGCTGCAAATAACTAATATTCAACATCACATTAGTTCACTGGGTAAAGGAAAGAAAAGAGCAGCATGAAAGAATATGCCAAGTCACAAGTTCACTGGGAAGATAAGGCACATGTTACATACAAAAACAAAACTTAAAAACCGCAAGCAGTTGATCACCGAAGCTGGCCACAGCCAGACAATCATGGAACAACCACTTTAATGTTATGTTCCTTATCTTCACCATAAAACCAATCCTTGGCAATGTGAGGGCATAGCTGAATCGATGCAGGCTTTAGATTTGGCACCTCTCCCTGTAGAAGAACCCCTGCCAACAAACAAACATAAACAAAAGGAGAGGTAACAAAAAAACCAAATGGAGTATCTATACTCATACAAATGAAGGGTTAAACTAAATTTGCACCTGTAGTGAAGAAATGGAAAATGTTTCAAATGTGATAGGGAAGAACTTGCAATCAGACATTTTCTATTAATGTATTTCCAATGGTCATATTAAGATTGGTGAGAGAATATCTTAAGAAAATAGATAACAAGCTTACAAGTTGGAATAGAAGACCTCCTCGAGATTTTGAGGTGTTGATTTTAGTTAGTTCTGTTCTAAACAAAATACTTCCTAGGTAGGCAAATCAGAGCCAAACAAGTTGCCTCCATAAAAACTATGAAGTCTGAGAGAACCATCAGATAACATAAAATTTGAAATTTTCACAAAAACACTCTTGGATTAGTATCTCATATATGCAAAAGAAAACATTACGAAAACCTAGTATCAGGATCAACATTGCAACAAAAAGGGAGATAATTCACGCAAAATACAAGTCAAAAAGCATAATAAAGTTGATGAATAAAACAATTAAATCATCTCATACCGATCTACACACAGGACACTTCACTTTCTTAGATGCTGTCTTGAGACCTTGGAAAATCAGCATAGAAGCTGAAGAGCAAGCACAGTTTTTGCAGAAAAGATGTCCGCAGCTCAAAGCATATGGATTAAATACAGTGTCCTGTAGAAAAAGGGGGGAAAGAGAGAAGGGGATGAACAAATTTATCAGGAGTTGCTAGGTGTTTAATAAAAAGAAAAATACATCAAAATAGTTAATAAAGAAGACAGAAACATGAGAAGAACAAACAAAGCAAAGAGATGAAATATGAGTATTAAAACAGTCAAGCAAGAAGGGAGCAAGAAGATACATATGATAACATTGATTCAACGTGCTTAATAATCTGAAGGAGGTCGCCAAGTAGGGAGCATGAAGATGCATATGATAACATTGATTCAACATGTTTAATAATCTGAAGGGGGGTCCCAAGTATTTCCAACTAACAAAATAAAATATAGATAATTGCAAAGCACCAAAATCTACTCCAATGGAGAAACGTGATTACTTAAAAGGTGAATGCATAAAACCTTGAATGCAAATTTGATAGCAAATCGAACAGAAAATTTCCAGTCCAACCATCAACCAGTCAGGCTTTCAGATTGTTCTCGACATAAGTATTTGCCAACTATTACTTTATGCATGGAACAAGAGGATATTCATCATATCCCTCAAAAAAAAGTTAAATTCATCATCAAAAGAAATTTGCAGAGAAGTAGTGAAGTAATAAATGTGGTTTTAGAAAAGAGAAGGACATGAAAATCCTCTTACAAATAGGCCTGCATTTCAAAATTACTGATTACTTGGACTATGGAAATGGAATACTATAATCTTTTTCTTAAATTAGATAAAGCACAGAACAATAAACATCTAACATTATGAAGAATGGAAGCAAACATCTTACTAGGCAAACAGCACATGTAAGACTGTACTCATACTTAATAGAGTCAGAAAAGGTCATAGACATTACAGGTTGTGCACCACTTAAATCACACGAGAATTTTCTAAAAAATTCTCCAGGTTCTCCAATGTTCGACCTCGTAAAGTTTACATAAAATGCACCTAATTCAATTAGCCAAGGTGACTGCAAAAGTTCAATCCTCTTATCATGCATTTCAGTCTTAAAATTTCTGCCAGTAACAGATCCATGTACCTGCCATATATTAAACTAATAACGTAAGAATTTACACAATGGATATCTGGAACACAATAAGTGTTGAATTACTTACTTTGTCATACTTCTTTAATATCTTTCGAATAGCAATAGCATTCATGGTAACATAATCAAGTAAAAGCCTTCCTTCTTGAACCATGACTTGCTGATCATCTGTGAAGCAATGACGCAGTCTCCACATATATCTCTGAATACCTCCAGGAGCAACATGGAGATGGAGCAGACTGTGACGCCCCTGGGTTCACACAAGGCTGCAGTCAAAGGTGAAACCAATAATGTCAAACCTGCCATTCACCACACCGTGCAATAACATGTTTCACCATCACAATTCTATCACTCTAGTAGAGTCAATAACAGGTGTAGGTACAAAAACAATTAAAAGATAATACAAGAGATAACTGATGAAATGATAGAGATCAAAATAATATTTCATCATCCAACATACAGAAATACAAGGTCAATGTCTAAAATGAATAAACTGGAGTTCTTAACAAGTCTCAAATACAACAAGTCTGAGTAAGGAAATAAGGCACACAACCTTTACAACATCTAGAATAAATTCCTCAAATGTCTAAACAAAATCTACAGTGGAGTTCCATAAATAAAATATAACTAAATAGACAGTTGAAGCTAAAGTGCATCACCATCAACCTGCGACTCTCCGGGCACCTGGCTCGTCACCTGAAAGGGGGAGGGACAACGAGCGTCAAAGTGCTAGCGAGCAACATCACAACCAACCCCAAGGGAGAGGGCTCGTTGTATATGAAAAAAATACAGTTAATACACAAAAATATAGAATCATTTATCCTAGCAATAATGGGTTTTGGTACTTAGGAAATTACAACACGAGCATAGGTACGTCGAGCGAAATAATCCAAACAAGAAAATCCTCATGTATATACCTTGTATCTCAAATTGTAAATCCCTAAATACTAAACCCGAGGTCTAATACAAGAAACCATAAAGAAAAAAAAATAACTCATCTCTATCGATAAATGTAACCATGTCAAAGCCACAATAAGTGTCCTGTCCCGCCTAGGTAGCTATCGTGTCCAAACTTAATAAATAAGTCGTACTCAATGTTACATTAAACGTTGGGCGCTTCTAGGCATCAGACTTGGCGCCTAGCGCCTAGTCGTCTAGGCGGGCGCCTAAGCGGTTTCTGGGCAATTTTTTCTTTTTTTATTTAAGTGGTGGTCGATGAGGTTTTGCTGAAGATCGGAGGAGGTAGTGGAGGTGTTCATATTTGGAGGTTAATGGAGTTTAAAAGACGTGTAGGCTACGACACATAAAATCACAATCAAGGTCTACATGGTGCAATCCACGTAAGCAGACAATGCTCCCCTAAACGCTCGTAAAATCTAGGTGATCAGCCTAAATACCGTCTAGGTGCTAGGCGCTGGTTAGACGGCCTAGGTACAGTCTAGGCCTAGGCGTACGCCTAAGCGGACTAGGCGGAGGTTTTTTAAAATAGTGGCTGTACTCCAAACTCAATTATGTATCATGCTCATGGTTTAGCAAATGTCCAACACATGGACTAAAGGTAATGCATGCCCAACACATGGACTGAATAAAATACATGTCCAACACATGGACCGTAATGATAAGTATCCAACACATGGATTAATCGTAATGTTTGTCCAACACATGGACTATGAGCAAAGAGGTGTAATTGTCAAAGGTATATGTGGAAAGATATACATATCCCGAACTCGCACGTGTTTTGATGTGCGGGTCTAAAATGATATCCTAATGTCACTCACATATATAGACAAATGTTCCATACTGTAAATTTCATGCTAGAAAAATCGAGGTAAACTATTCGTACACACAATATACACAACAAGACAAAATCCTGCACAAACAGTATCGCGGTCGACCGCAGAGGCCACTCCGGTCGACTGCAAAATGAGCAGAGACGTTCTGCTCGACAGAACACCCGACGGTCGACCGCGCATAGCGCTGCGGTCGACCGTGAGACTGGCAGATGCCAAAATTCAGGTTTCTCTCTATTTCAAAATTGATCCAAACAACCCATCCCTGCTTCCAAACGATATATCACATATTCTAACACATATGAATCATCATATAACAACATTTAGCATGTAAAAATCATCACTAAAAATCATGAACATGTATACCCGTGTTTTAAACTTTATAAAACAGTAAAGATCAAAAATTTAACTCTTAATAAAACGTTTTTAGATTTAGATCTCTTTAACCAAAATCATTGGTGAGCATTTGAAAACTTAAATACTTGATTTTCACATCTCATATCATAAAGATCTATCTATCTACGCAAAATAGTGATTTAGGCTCAAGAAAACTCATTTAAATCGTTAGAAAAGCTCGTAAAAACATGGGTGAGGGATTGGGCGAGATGTTACTCGCCTGAGGGGTGTAGATGAACTCCCAAAAGCAAGTGAAAACAATCCTCCTTCGCTGAACACCGATGGATCTCGCGTCGACTCCTCCAAAATCCTCTAAGAATCGCTAAAGAAAGGGGTTTTAGGGTTTAAAAAAGAGAGAGGAGGGGGCTGAGACTATTAGGGTTCAAAAGAGGGTTCTGAGAGCTTCAAAACGAGTATATATACCTAGGGTAACAACTGGGTTCGGTATAAATAAAACCCAACCCAAAACAGAACTGACAGAACCAGGTTCGCCCAGCGGTCGATCGCAGCGACCACGGCGGTCGACTGCGCAGGGTTTTGGGTCATGCTCAAACTGGGGTTTGGTATAAAGGCTGTAACTTTCTCATCCGATCTTAGAATGAGGTGATCTAAGATTCGTTGGAAAGCTATTGAAGAGACCTAAAACTTTGTTCTTATACACTTTTCCAAATTCTAACTGAATCAGTATGAAAAATATAGAAACTCTCAACTAGTCAAAATTCTCAGATTTTCACTCTTGGCCTTTGGGCATGTTTTGTGTATTTACACTCATATATTCACAAATATACATTGAATTGATCTCAAATCAATTCCTATCATACTCAAACATCAAAATACATTATTTTCAACATATAACATATTTATAATTATTTATCACAATATATTCAAATTTTCGGGGTTTTACACAGACGTCTTACTCTTGAGCTGAAACATCCTGCTACCTCTGAAGCCTCCCTTGCTAATTCAGAAAAGAACTTCTCATCGTACACTAAAAAAGCAAGAGTGTTCTCAGTAGAAGCACTAAGCAGTCTTTTAGGGAACAAATGGACTAACAAAGAACCCATTTCATGAAATATTTCCATGTTGATTGGCTTAGACACAGATTAGCAACTATTTTTTAAAGAGGGCAATCATAATCCAAGTTGATATTTAGATTACCGTCTTATACTTGAATTTCGATTAAAGTAAAAGGAAATTTTGGTGGGGTTCGGAAAAAATATTAAGCTGACATATTTGATTCATACTTAGTCGGATTACACAATTGAGATATATGCAAGAAAAAGGGTTGGCCAGTAGATTCTCCTATCTGAGCCTGAATAATAACTATGTATAGAATGAACTGCTATTTCAACACCAATTACATGATCATATAAGGGTCAAAAAGCTAAACCAAATATATTATAACCAGAGAACTCAAGGTTTCTTCCACTACTTTTTAAGAAACCAGGTAATCATGATCCATGTTGGTATGAAGCTCTCTGTCTTATTCTGAAATGTTTTAAGTAATAGAAAATTTACAGTGGGGTAGCAGGTATCAACCTGTCACATTTGATCCATATACGATAGAATTTAACTATTGAAACATGTCTAAGAAAAAGGGTTGTGCCATCTTTGAATTTCAATAATGTTTATGAATATAATGACATCTACTCATGATCACATGAGCAACTCAAGGTGTCTTCTTGGTATTTTCCAAGAAACAAGGTAATCATAATCCATGTTGATTACTTTTATTAAAATTTTATTAAGCAAAAGAAAATTACAGTCACATTTCATATATATAAAAAGCATTAAATTGTTATGTTTGGTTCATATGTAGTCGAACTTACACTATTAAAATATGTCCAAGAACAAGGATAAGCAAATGGATACTCATATTTGAGCGTGAATAATGTTTAGTGAATAGAACAAAATTGTTCGAATGATGGTCAAAAACTCACAAAATTATGTCTGTATTGTTCTTCTCATTATTTTTAAAGAAACAAAGGTAATCATAATCCAAGTTGATACTCAGATTACTGTATTGTATTGAAATTTGAGTTAGTAACAGAAAATTACAGCGGAGCTTTGTGGAAAAAAGGTATTGAATTGTCATTTTTTATTCACATGTAGTCGAATTTACACTACTGAAGTGTGGCCAAGAAAAGGGTTAGCCGACACATTGAATACAATGGAATGTGGCTTGGACAACAATTACATGATCAAATGAAAACCAAAAATTTCAACCAAATATATTATTAATGGACAGCTCAAGGTTTCTTCTTGCTAATTTTTTAACAAACAAGGTAATCATATATAATCCGAGTTGCTTGCTATTCTCAGCAAGTTTGATTAAGCGAGAGAAAAAGGTATTAATTGACATATAATTCGTATGAGTCGAATTTATACTATAGAAATAAGTCCAAGAAAAAGGGTTGGCGAGTGGATTTTCATGTACATGAATAGTTTGGACAAAAATTTCGTGATCAAGATATATTTCTTCAAGCATGAATAGTTTGTAGTAAAAAGGAAAAAGAAATATGATGCAATGGTTTTGTAACGCTATACAGGTTATCCATCATTTTGTGAAACAGAACAAACTTACCTCACTTCTAGCATAGCTGTCCATCATAACAGATGGTCTTACAATAGGTGGTTGAATAGAAAGAAGTCGTAATATCATCCAATCCGGACGATCATCTTTCGGTTTGAAACCTAGTAGTAGGCAATCTTCATTGATTATTCTTTTAAGAACACTAAGAACTTGACCATGTCATAAAACAGAAACAAATAAATTTGGACTACTAAAAGAAATAAATTAGAATAACAATTTTATAAAATTAGCTACATTCTCTGTAGAAAGCTATTGTTTCCTCTCAACAGGTTCAGGAAGCTGTGCTTGGTCATTAGATTTCTTGCAAAGGACTCATCAACAATAGTTTGTGTGTAGTATAGATAAGTAAAAAATAGTTGACATGCAAATTTACAGTAATAAAGTGAACTATTCTCTGAATATGTATTTAGATTCACACAATTGAATGTTAAATTTAAGCTAATAACTGCAATAACAATCAAAGGTTAAATTTAAGCTAATAACTGCAATAACAATCAAAGCATGCAATAGTTATCAAACAACTATATGAGCATATGTTTATAAATCAATAGTTATCAAACAACTATATGAGCATATGTTTATAAATCATAAATTGTCCTAACAAATTAAATTCATCAGTTCATAATCTTAAAAGTATATGAAAAGCTCATTCGAAATCCTTCAACCAATTTGTAAATGTAATGAAAATTAAAATTATTCATGTTTAATTTTTGTGGGCCCTTGATCAACCCTTCTCCACCTTTATCTTCTTTTTTGGTAAATCGAGAACTGAATCATCGTCATCAATGTTTATTGTGATGTCTTCTTGGATTTAGATTTCTTGTGCTATTATCTTTCCTTGTGCACGTTCATCCTTTGAGTTCTCATCCAACTTTACAAGGAACTTGTATGTCTTTCCGATGTTGAGAACAAACTTTTGAAAGAATGAACTTTCCGATGTTGAGAACAAACTTTTGAAAGAATGAACTCTGATTATTTTTCTGTTTTAATGAGGAAAAATTAAGATCTTATACATGAAACATATTGTTTTATATGTATAATATATAATGAAGTAAGAAGTTACCTCTTTTATATCATCCATGAATTTTTGAGCCTTATATCCTATCAAAGTTTTTGCTGCGTCAAAAAGTGTCACTCTTGCATTATCTGTCTCATCTTCAACTATGCTTTTAATAACATACCTACATTTTGTATTATTATTGTGCATCAGATGATATTTTTATATTTAATACTTATATTTTTCTTTCATGAGTAATTTATAGTACTTTACCTTGGTATACTGTCGTCATTGTTTTTTTGACAATTTTGACATTTGTCATAAATAGTTTTGTCTACTTTTTTATTGCAGCCTTTGCAAGAGTAGTACCAAGCCTCATGCCTATTTAAGATATTAGTTATTTTTCTAGTAAAGCTGCCATATTATGTCTATAGATTTGTAAAAATTTAGTTAGTTATAATCATAGTTTACATATATTTAGTAAATTAAATAAGAAATTATAAAATAATTGAAAAAAAGATAGTCAAAAATGATTTTTTTTAAATTAATGTAAAAGTAATAATTGTAAATGTATTCAAAACATATTTAATATAACTTATAAAAATATTAAAAATATATGATTAGAAAATAAATATTTTTTTTGGGAATATAATTAAAAAAAATTCATGTTTACTTTATATCTTAACAATGAAACAAGATCTATTTATATTAGCTTGTTTTGAAGCTGAAGCTATTGATTCATTAATATTTTATAGTAGGATTTTTAATATCATATCTTTGATGATTTTTGTGAAGCTTGCATAATGTCAACAATATTCATTTTTGCTGCATTTTTAAATAGTCTTGATGGAGCACCATTAGTCTTGATATTATCTTTTGAAAGAGCCATGCATATAATTTTAAAAATATTAAAATTTTAATTTATTAAGTTACCTTTTTTATTTGAATTACCATTCTTGTATGTCCTTAACAAGCTGTATTTTAGGGTTGATACATATTGTTGATGCAATTTGCGAAGTCATGCACATCTCCCCTGCATATATAATAGTTATAATTAGAATATGATATTTATTGATAAATAATTTACAATTCAATTATAAAAAATGTTACCTTTGTACAATGATATTTTAAAATATGATAGTGCTATTATAGTTGTTTCATTCATATTGCCTTCAATAATTGAACCTTTAGTGTTAGCTAAATCTCTGAACAAAGTTACAGACAATGTTATCTCACTGTGTAAGAAAAGTTAGATAATTTTTTGTTAATATATTATATTTTGAATAATTAATTTATCGTGAAATAAAAACATGCGTGTATACTCTTTGTCTACTATAATGATGTCCCGCCTTATTATATCTTGTAACGTACTTGATCATAGGCTTGACATTTGCTATCATTGCAAGAACATCTGCTTGTAACGTACTTGATCATAGGCTTGACATTTGCTATCATTGCAAGAACATCTGCACATAAATTTATAACAAGTTTAAAATTCATTAACATCTGCACATAAATTTATAACAAGTTTAAAATTCATTTATAAATTTTTAAATTAAAAATAAAAGGTTTTTACAAATACTTACTTATATTCCTTGTATCCTCGTTGGAAATTGCATCTTTGATTGAGATAAAGTTGTTCGATATCTTATCAAATTGAAACTCTTCTTTTGATTCTTTGATAGAAATGTTCTTAGTCAATGTCAACTCAATTGACTCATATATATTTCCATAAAGGGGGTTTATTGGTTTGACTTCTCCATTTGAGATGTAAACAACATGATTCTTCTGAAGCATGTGCTTATACATTTCAATAGTTTCTCCAAACATAATACCTTGTATTTTTTCCCCTGCAAATATTACTAATATTAATTATCTCACAAATAACTAATACATTAACATTCATTTAAGCCTAAGCTAAATAAGATAAGTGATAGATGACGTAAGTTATGTATAAATGTATTAATTAATGCTAGTGTATTACATTTTACAGATCTTTATAAGTTATATTTTTTAAAAATTTAGCTTGATCATGCAACTAAATAATAAATTTATGGTCAATATGCTTATTAAAAATTTAGTCTAAATAATAACTATTTTGTTGCAGTGTGTATACAATGTTGTGTTGATGTCATATGCACATTATTTGCTTGCTTATATTGTTAGACATATGTAGACAATTAATTTACGTAGAATTAGGAAGAAAGCATGATATTTGTTGTATAAAATTTGCGAAAATGAATTACATGTTGCTTACCTCTTTAATAAATGCAGGAATTATTTTTATATGATCTTATACACAGTAAGGTGATAATAATTAATATAAGAATAAGCATTAACAATTATAATTTAATTTATATTTATAATTTATAAATTTAAAAAAATTGAGAAGGCTCTGCATAGATTTAAAATAACGATTGCTATGGCATGATAAAAAAGTGATGCATATTGTACTTAAATATTGTATGTATTAC